CGACTCTGGCGAGAGGGGGCGATCGTGGAAGCCCGGCGTCGAACGCGCTGCAGCCTCTGGGGGCCTCTGGCATCCAGAACATCAAGACGCCCCAGAAGCGTTGACGCACGAACCTTGGGACCCCCTTTCTCGATGATGAATTCCGGGTGCTCGCGGCCCGAACAGTGACGAGGGCCGAACGTCGAAGCGATCTGCGACGGCGGCAACGGCGACGCATGCGGCAGTGGGGCCGCAGTCCCCGCTGCGATCGAGCGACGCCGCGGTCGCCGCCGCCCGCGAGCGCGCTGCGGCCGCCGCCGCCAGCCAGCGCGCGGCAATGCCCGCCCGGGCAGCCGCCTGCCCAACGCGGGGGGCTCCGCGGGAGGGGGGGGGGGGTGCGCAGGGGGGGCGCCGCGGGGGGGGGGGGGGGGGGGGGGGCGCGCGGGGGGGGGGGTCGCCGCGAGGGGGGAGAGGAGAGGGGAGGGGGGGCGCCGCGGGGGGGCGCGCCTCGGAGGGCGCGCCTCGGAGGGCGCGCGGCGGCGGAACGACGGGGCGAGGCGGGTCCGCCATTTGAGAAGCGCTGCTGTCTGCTTGAAGGTGAAGCACAGACCGCGTCGCAATGCCGTGATTGTCTACGCCTAGGGCGGCGACCTCATCGACGTCGAGGTCCAGAGCTCTCAGGCGACGTTGCACGCACGTGGGCAAGATTATTCCATGGGGCGCGCTGGCCCACGCCACAAATCACGCGCGCTGGGGCTCCACTGATCGCTGCTGCTCGAGCTGGGCCCGCGCGCCCTCGCCAACGAGGGCTCGGCGAGGGGCGCGGCCGTCGCTGCGCCGAAGGACCTGCGGCCCCATCCGCCCAGATGGCCGATGCCAACCACCGCGCCGCCGAACCGACCTGCCCCCCTCCCCGCGCAAATGGCCGCGCTGCAGGTCGCAGTAGCGAGGTCGACGCTCGCTGGGGATATAGCTGGCGGAATCTCATGCTTGTTCGAACCCCTCGCGCGCCCGACCATTGGGCCCGCCGCTGACCATGGCGCGGGAACGGTGGGCCCCGGGGCGGGACAGGGTGGCGGTGGCGGGGGGCGGCAGGCCCGGCCGCGCCATGGCTATCTTGCCGGAGATCGGTGCCATCGTCGCCGACGCCAGCGGGCTGCGCGCGATGCGCGACTGCAAGGTGCCATCAGGATTGGCGCCCTGCCTGCTGCGCGCCAGCGTGCATGCGCGCGGCGGCGGCGGGCGCGGCGCGGTGTCTCGCGACGCCGGCGGCGCGGCGGCGCCCTGCGGGCGCTCCGACGATAGTCCGCTGAAGCATCGCGCGCGCGCGGCGGTGGCCGCGACCCCGCGGGCGCCGGCGCGCCCCGCGGCGCAGCCTAACTGAGAAACCAAACTGGCGAATCTGTAGACGTGCCCGGGTTGGGGCCTCGACCCCGGCGCGCCCCTGGCGGGCCAATGTTTGCTGCCGCGAGACTGCCCCGCGCTCGCGTGCCTGCGCGCGCGGTTGTCGTCCGCGACGTGTCCGGCGCGGCCGACGACCGGCTCGCGGGATTCGCCGCGGGCATGGGCGCTCGCCCCAGAAAGCGCGGCTTCGGCCGCGCAGCCGTGCGCGCGGCCGCGGAGAACGTCGAATGGCCGAAGCTCGTCGGCGCGGGGTCCAACGGCGCGCGCGGCGCCTGGAAGGCCGCCTCGCGCTTGGGAGATGTCGCCTCCAAGACGCCCTCCAGCGAAAGCCTGGGCGCGGCGCCCATCAGCGTTCCGCTTCTTGCGCGAAGCCGCAGCCGCGATCCGCGGCGCGTCGTTGACTCGGCGCGCGCTGCGCTTCGCGATGTCGCGCGGAGTCGCGCGGGTGGCTGCCGCGCGCCCGCCGAGACGGCGCGGGCGCGGCGGCGCTGGACCTCGACGTCGCAGCCATCTCGGTGGAATTCCAGCACTTGCGCGGTGGTGGGCCGACGCGGCCGAGCTGAAGATGCGGCGCTTTTCGCGCGGGCGCCTGTCCCCGCGAGCTCGCCGCGGCGGGCGCGCGAAGGAAACGCCGCGCGGCGGCGGGGGGCGAGGGCGATGGGCAGCGGCGGCGGGGGAGATTTCAAGATCGCGGTTGGAGAAAGCGATGGCGGCCCGCAGCGGCACGGGCGCGAACGACTGCGAGATGGCAATGGCGCCCGCCGCTCCCATCGACCATCGCCCGCCCCTCGCCATGGCCGATCAGGCCGCGGCCCAGACCCCCCCGCCCCCCCCCCGCGGCGGCTGCGGCCGCCCAGCGCTCCTGCGACTTGCTGCGGCTGCTGCCGCTCCGCATCGACCTCGCGCATCTGCCGCGGATCATCGATGGGGTTGGGCCATTGTCGACCGCTCGGCCGCTGAAGCGCAAGCGCAAGGTCATCGAGAAATGCGGCTATCAAGGGTTCAGGGCCGCCGCCCCGAGCAAGGCGCGCAGTTGGGGCAAGTCCGTCCTCGGGGGCGTCGCCTGCGAAAGCTTGTTCGTGGTTGCTGACGGCGAGTTTGACGTAGAAAGTCGCTGCCGGGGGCGACAAAGGCACCCGGTGGGCGGATGCTGGCGGGCCGGTGCGATGCATTCGGCGGGGCGCGCGCTTCGTCGGGCAGCGCGGGCTTCCAACGCAACGGGCGCGCGCGCCTGAACGAGCGCGCGCGCGTATCTGCTAGAGGCGCGGTGATTTGCGCTTTCGGCGCTATCTGCTAGAGGCGCGCGCGTATCTGCTAGAAGCGCTGGCTTCGCCTTTCCAAGAGCCAGCCCTCCTGGCTTTCATCTCCATGTGGGTCCAGCGCAATGCGTGGGAAGGGATCCGTCGTCTGGGATACGAAGATCCTGAGCTCGTTGTATATGCGGTTGTGGGCGATCCTGCGGCGTGTTGCTTGGTCGCGCCAGTCGGCGAACCGATCTGAAACGAGGGCGCGCGCCTTCCGATCCTGAAACAGGGCAGTGCCGCAGCAGCTGCAGATGCTCAAACTGCTGGGTTGCAACTCCAGCGACAGTTTCCTCATCCACCTCCTCCTCCTCCTCATCATCATCCTGCCTCCTCTTCCCTCTCGTCCCCCTCCTTCTCCTCCACCCCAGTATTATCATCATCGTTGCCACCATCATCATCACCGTCACCACCATCACCAGAACCCTCATCAGCCATCAACCCTTGTCATCCAAATCGTTATCCTCATCTATGATCAACAACATCATAAGCATAACAACCGACACCAAACATCCCTGTCGCCACCTCACCATCGCCATCATCATCACCACAAATCCGCGGCCAGGGGTCTCATCGCCATGTCCATCCACATCCTCCGTTTCAACAGGGCCATCATCAACGTCATCATCCTCGCCGTCATATACATACACATGTATATGAATATATATATATATATATGTATATGTATGTCATACAAATCAAACGCATAACCATCGTCCGCGTCACCATTATACTCTTATCAATGTTTCAACCCCAGTTGCGTTCACTACTATAAGAGGGGTTGAATTCCCAACATGATCAAACGACCAAGCCATGCTGAAATCATAACGTAAACCAGCTAAGAGCTTCCGTACCTCTTACTTCTTACTGAATTACCATATGTGCTTACAGTATGGGATCAACTTCGTACCCCGCTGCCGTTTCAGAGTTTATTTGGATGGTTTTCGAAGGCGACCATAACATAGCACCATCACTTGATATATATATATATATATATATATATATATATATATATATATATAAGAAAAACAACAAAAAAACAAAGAAACACGAGGAACTGATGTTTCAGGCAGTCCTGCTAGGTCTACGTCGATCTGGAGGGCTATTTGTGGGCACCCTGGAAGGTCGGAGCTCCAAGGGCCCGTTCCCCCCAGGACCCCCTCCCCCCCATTGCGAGGGCGGGCGGGCGGGGGCACGGGCGACCGGGCCGCGCGCAGATGCCGACGCGCCCCAGGACAGGTCAGAGGGGTCGGCTCTGTGAGGGGGGGCGGGGGCAGAACGCAGCACGCCCCGAAAAACCTCAAGGCGGAGGCCCTTTCGCCTCTCCCGCCGTCTAGGGGCCGCTTCTGAGCCCCGGACCGCCAAAAACGACCTGGGATCAGACACTGCTCCGGGCGGAGGTTTTTCCTGGGTCGCCCTTTTGGCCAGTTCTGGCGTCGTGAGGTCCGTTTTCCCTCAGTTGGGAAATTGCTGACTTTCCTAATCCTTTGATCCTCTTCGCCAAAAGGGTCACACTAGCCGCAGCACATTGCAACCCTCCAGAGGCAGAACAAGCGGCATGATCTGCCGCCACGAATGGTTTGGGACGCCAAGATCTGAAGGAAGTCTGTTTTTTTCGCGGGGCGGATCGCCAGAAGCATCCCCGCCTGTAGAGACCCACCCACCCCATGCTGGCACAATACAACCGTATTTCGGCCCCGCAAGGCACATGTCCTTACAATTGCGTCATATCGTAAACTGCTACATATACGCCCTACAATGAACGGCTGCGTGCGGGCAGGGAGGGCTCCCAGGCACATCCGACGAAAAATATGGAAACACCGAACCCACAGGGGCTTCTGCATCGGAGCTGTAGCCTGCAAGGAGCATGGGGGCGAGGAGGGGCGCGGAGAGAGGATCTTTGAGCATCTTCGGTCAAGACATGGCGAGCGACCCCGCCGCCATGGACAGCCCTGAGGGAGGGAGGGAGGGAGGGGAGGGAAGAGGATGATGCCGGAAGGGATCTGAAGCAAAAAGACTCCAGGGTCTCGAGTACCGATGTCTCCCAGCAGCTGATCGAAACAATTGGCACCTCGGTGGCCTCACTCGGAGCCTCACTCGGCCCCGCTCACCCGGGCAGGCGCTGGGGTGAGCGCTGTGTGAAGGAACAGGAGGAAGAGGAGGATGGGGAGAGACGGAGATGGATGGGGAAGAGGAGGAGGAGGAAGAGGAGGAGGAAGAGGAGGATGGGGAGAGACGGAGAAGAGGAGGAGGAGGAAGAGGAGGATGGGGAGCGGAAGGGAAGGAGAGGGACGGAGTGGGGGGGTGGGGGGGTGCCTTCAGCCGTCGGCCATGGCAGCACCAAGGCAGCGACGCGCACGCGTCGTGCCAGGGGCTCGGCAGCGCCACCACCTCCTGCTGGGGCTCGGAGATGGCGAAAGTAGACGTCGATAACGATGACGGTGACGATGACGACGACGAGGATGAAGTCGACAACGAAGACGACGATGATGAAAATGATAATGATAATGATGATGATGATGATGATGATGATGATGATGATGGTGATGATGGTGATGATGACGATGGTGCTGATGATGACGCCGATTCTAATTATTATGACGATGATGATGCTGCTGGTGATGCTGCTGCTGCTGATGATGATGATGATGATGAGGATGATGATGCTGATGATGATGATGATGATGATGATGGTGATGACGATGATGATGATGATGATGATGATGATGATGATGATGATGATGCGCCCAGCGGAGGCGTAAGGACTCGTCAGGGCGCGATGATGATGATGATGATGATGATGAAACTGATGATGATGATGATGATGATGATGATGATGATGATGATGATGATGATGATGATGATGATGATGATGTTGATGCTGCTGCTGCTGCTGCTGCTGATGATGATGATGATGATGATGATGATGATGATGATGATGATGATGATGATGATGATGCGCCAGGCTCCCATCTGCTGTCTTTACAACCAGTGCTGCGCGAAACAATAAAGCCAGATTTCAACAGATTCTGACACCCAGCGCCCACCGAGATTAAAGCGGGAAGTCCAGCAAAACTGGTCCCAGCGATGGACCTTGCAACGCCACCTTCTGAGACGGCGACGGGGACCGCGATGATAACGTCGTCAACGTCGTCGTCGACGTCGTACTCGTCCTCATCTACGTCTTTGGGGCTCGGCGGGGGTTCGGATGGGCTCGGAGGGTTTGGAGGTGTTTGGAGGGGCTTGGAGTGTGAGGGTTCGGCGACGACAGGGATCCACGTTCCTTTACATTTCTGTTTACTTCTGGGACTGCAGAGCCCTCTGGGGACCTCCAGAGACCTCTGCAATCCCTGGAGAACCAAATGGCAATGAGAACAACACCGTCGGCATCGTCCTCGTACTCTTCGGCGTCTTTCCAGGGCCACAAATCAGCTCCCCCGCAGGAGGGCAAGTCCACTCGCGCGATCAATAAGCACGTGCCCGAAGCAACGAATCGCATCGCGGATGGAAGAACTCGGTGGCAATCTGAGCGGTCGCATCAGGCACCAAGCAGGGATCTCGGATGCGGTCCCTCGTCTTCTTCTTCGTCGGGAGCGGTCCTCGTCTTCCTCGTCGTCGGGGGCTCGGATGAGCTGAATGGGGCGTGGTCGAAGGCACCTGGAGATGTTCGCAGGGGCGCGGCTCGGGAGTTCGGGCGTGGTCGGCAGGGATCCCAAGGGGCCCGGGGAGCTTCGGAGGGGCGTGGAGAAGCTCGAAGGGCCCGGGAGAATCTCCGACAGGAGGTTGGAGGGACTCCAGAGTGTTTCGGCAAGGGGCTGTCCCTCCTGCAGACAGCGTGTTGCCGTCATGAGCCATAAGACAGGGCACGAAACCATTCTTCCCCGAACTGGGCAGCCCAATTCAGAACGGGCCGAATGGAGAAATCAAATCATGAGACCCGGACAGGACGAGAGAGCCACGTCCAAACCCGACGTGCTCCTTGTTCCGACACCACGACTGCACGTACTCCTCCTGCTCCGTACGATGCCGTCGCTCTTCCTCTTCCCCCTCCTCTGCCATCGAACGCCTTCCTCGATACTCTGTTGCTCGGTGACCGCTTGCGCAATGTCACTGCACACTCGAGAGACCAGTGAGGCCAAAGCGCGTGCCCAGTGGCACCAGCCTGGCAGGGGAAGCGGCCTCTATGGGGCATCCCCCAGAGACAGCCTCACCCGCTGGCGGATAACCGAGCCAGGCCAGAAGGCGCCAGAAGAACTCGAATTTAGACGCGCGTCCTGCTGGGCACTCCTCATACTTTTTCTCCCGCCCTTCACGATCCTGCTGTGCTCGCTGCTGTCTTAGCTCCTGCTGCTGCTGCTGCTCCCGCCCCCCGTTGCAGAGCAAGCAAGCAAGGCATAAGCCTTCTTCGGAGGTCCGCGCAGAAATCTCAGATCGGCGTTTGACCCCCTCCCTGGCGGCCAGAGCACGCCAGGGGCGGCGCGTGCGGCGCCGCCAGCGGGGGTCCAGCGCCGACCCGAGAAGGCCACCAACAATCTATGCTGATTCTGATTATGTTTCCTCCTTCGACCCAGGTGCTGATGATGCCGCTCCAGCCGCCAACATCCTCAGCGTCGTCGGCGCGGAAAAGATCGGGCTCCACATCGAGCCGCATCGCCGAAACAGCTGCGATGCGGTGCCAACCCCCGACCCCACCTTTTCGGACGCCCGGAATGGGTACGGAAAGAGTGGGCACGACGCCCAACAACAAGTGCTGTTCAAAACCGACAACGGCCGCAGCTGGGCAGGCGGCCTTTTGTCTGAAATGATCCACGTCCGCGACAACGCAATAACGAATCTGGTTCAAACTGGGCAAGAACTGCTGTCGGTCTTCGTGCCCGTTCTTTGCATGCACCTTCCGATCGTGCCAAACGTCTGTCGGGCGTTGGCAGAACTGGTTTTAGTGGGACCTGGTTTAGCGATGTGCACTTGGGGACGCCCCCCCCACACCCGTTCCGTTCCACCAACCATAGCTGCCCTCACCCGAAAAAAACACGAACTGCGGCAGACCTGGCTCAGTGACTCTGGCCAACTCAGGGGCTCCGGGGCTCCACTTACTTCTGACCGGGTCCCCTTACCTGGGGTCCCCACCCAAGACCTAGGATAAAACAGGGCTAGGATCGGGATAAATCGCTCCAGAGCGTTCCGGAGCGCTCTCAGAGCGTTCCGGAACGCTCTGGAGCCGCCGCGGCGCCCAATACATCCTCCAAACCCGCCGATTCTCAGAGATTTCGAGTTATCCCGATCCGATTTTGTCCCGATCTTCGTGTCGTTTTAACCTAGGAGGCGTGCGTGGCCGGCCGGCCGGCCAGCGGGCCCGGCGGCCTCCGCGCGCTCGTCGAGCAGCACGGCGGCGGTGAGCTGCTGCGGCCCCGCCAGCAGCAGCCAGGCGCCCGCCGCGGCGGCGCCGCCGCGGAGGCCGCGCCAGAGCTCCTGCGGTCGACCCCTGCCGCCGAGCGACGAGCGCCGCTGGTCGGCGACGATCGACGACCTCCTCCTCCTCCTCCTCCTCCTCCTCCTCTCCTCCTCCTCCTCCTCCTCCTCCTCCTCCTCCTCCTCCTCCTCCTCCTCCTCCTCCTCCTCCTCCTCCTCCCCCCCCTCCTCCTCCTCCCCCTCCCCTCCTCCCCCTCTTCCCCCTCATTCGCCTCCTCCTCCTCCTCATCCTCCTCCTCCTCCCGACGTCGACGATGGACCACCGAAAAACGACCGACGACCATCAGCGATCGACGACGACTGGCCGCCGAGAACGACCGAGAGCGATCGAGGGTCGTCGCCGATGGCCGCTGGCCGTTGGGGATACGGGGCTCGAGGGCTCTCGCGGGCCGAGGCTTGTGGCTGTCTCGGCCCCTGTCGGGGAGCTTTTGACCCGGGTCGATCCAAACCCGGGTCAGCCAGGCCTTGCAACATCCTGCAAGATCCTGCAGGGCCCTGCGCCCGAGCCCGGGCCAATGCGAAAGATCCCACACGATCCTGCAGGATCCTGCATCCAAGCCCGGGTTGATGCGACCCTGGCCCTGCAAGATCCTGCAAGATCGGGCGCTCTGGCTGACCTCCGTTTGCATCGACCCCCGTCGGCAGAACTGGGTTAGTGGAACCTGGATTAGTGATTTGTGCCGCGGGCGCCCCCCCGCCCCATTTCCACTAACCGGAACTGCCGTCACCCGAAAAACACCAGTTACGGCAAACCTAATTTAGTGAATCTGGCCAATTGAGGGGCCCCAGGGCCCTACCACTAACCGGGTCCCCTTAACCCGGGGTCCTGGCTATACCCGACTCAAGGCCCCCGTTTGCATCGACCCCCGTCTCAGGGCCCCCGGCCCTTCTCGAGCACGCGGCTCCAGCTGCTCGTGCCCCCGCCGCGGCCTGTCCTCCCCCCTTCCCTTTGGACGCGCGAAATGGGCACGGAAAGAATGGGTACAATGCCCAACAACAAATGTTGTCCCGAACCAACAGCGGCCGCTGTTGGGCAGGCGGCCTTCTGTCTCGAGTGGACACAGGCCGCGGCGGCGTGGATAGCGAATCCTGCCCAAGATGAACAGGAACTGCTGTTGGGCATTGTACCCATTCTTTCCGTACCTATCTCGGGCGTCCAGATTCCCCAAGCCCGCCCAGCCACTCACCCCGCCCACTGGCACCCCAGAACGAGCAGTTCGCCGCTCCCTATTGGGGCCTCGTTGGCGTGTGAGCGTGGCCCCTCCCCAGACCCTGAGAACCGACGTCTCCAGAACATGGAGGCGCCGTGCCCAGACCCGATCTCTTTCTGCGCCGTTTTTCGAGCCCGATCGATCTGTGAGGGTCCCGGGGCCCGAGATGGAGCGAAAACGCCCGACTCGAAAAAATGGAGTCGCCAGGATCTCAAGGAACCACTCCTCTGAGAGCCTGGTCCGGACCGTCTGGAGAGGGGATGGGGGGAGCAGGGGCAACGCGCCAGCGGCCACATCTGCTCCAAAACTTGCTCCCCTGCCACACGCACACCTGGTGTGCGAGCGCACGGGGCACGCTTGTGTGCCAGCACGCCGACACTCGGGGAGACGTAAGACCCGGGTACGGGGGACTCGGAAATCCCCGACGAGGTCGTCAAAAAAATGACGAGGCCGAGCCTGCATTTTGACGAGGCCTCCCGCTGCAGACATCCCACGAAACTCCTACTCGTCAAAATCCGAGGCGCGGTCGTCAAAAAAAAATGGCGAACCCGAGTCCTGGCAAACCCGGGTCTTACGCTCCCCCGAGACACGCCATGCAGGTCCCGCGCCGTGCGCTCGCGCGCGCCTCCGTGCTGGCTGGCCCACCGCCCCGCACCTCCGACGATGCGAGCCTTTTCCCCGCCCGCGCACGGAACACCTCGCCGGCCCCTTCCCCGGGCACGCTGCCGTCCCGGATCCGTCTTTGACGGCCGAGCCCCTCCCAGTAGAGGAGGCCACATCTTGCCGTCGCTCGACGTCCATTTCCCATGCATTTTTCGGTTTCGTGCGTGCTTTTTTTGCTCGATGGTCCAGGATGGTCCTCGATGGTTCTCGCCGAGAAAAAACGCACACGTCCGAGCGATGCCAAGACATGTGAACCCGACCCCACCCTCCCGCGATTTCCGAGGCGGCCGCACGTGCACCCCGCCCTCCCCCCCTTCGAAATTCGTGGGAGGGTGGGGGGTAGGGCTCGCAGGTGGCCTCCCATCCCAGGAAACCCCTGCTTCCCCTCCTTTGTCTCGAAGCGGATTTGGCTCCTGAAGGGGCCCTGGGACACACAAAGAACTGCGCACCACGAACAGGGTCCCCCCTCTTTTCCCACTCTTTCCTGGGCCTCTGTCTTCCCCCCCCCCGCCTGCCCATCTTTTCCCACATTTTCCTGGGGAGCCGACGATGACTCGCGTCTGTGTGCTTCTCTCCCTCCCGACGTCTGTCTCGAAGCGGACTTTCGCTCGCCCGTGGCGGCGCGGGCCCCCCCCCCCCGGGAGGCCCACCGCCGGGGAGGGCCGCCGCTGTCTCGCCCTGGCGCCCTCGCTCGCCCGGCCTCGCCCGGCCTCGCCCGCCGCTCGACGACCTGCCAGACCACCCAGGGGGGGGAGGGAAGCACACAGACACAGTGAATCGTCGACTCGCCATCCTTCAGGAGGGAAGGAAGCACACAGACACGATCCATCGTCGATATTCCCCCGAAACTATAGGAAAATCGGGGCAGTGGGGGGGGAGACAGAAGCCCCGAAAATGGGGGGAATCCTTTCATTGGTGTGTATTTCTTTGTGTGCCCCATGGCCCCTTCAACCACCCCAACCCAGCCCGCAGACCCGAATGGGACCCGAAGTTCGGGTTGGGGGGGGTACGGGTCCCATGTGTTTCTTCCATGTTCCCCGACCCCCCCCCCCCACTGGAAATGGAGGGCAAACCGAGGACTTCGGGTTGGGTTGGGGTGGCTTGGCGGGTGGTGACCGCTGTGCGCATGGACGCCCCGCCTGCGCGCCAGCGTGCGCATGGCAGGGCGAGTCAGCACCGGATCGGGACACCGGATCGAATCTAAACAAGGGCTCCCAACTTCGCGCTTCGCGCTCCGCGCAGCGCGAAGCGCGAATAACTTCGCGCTCTCGCGCCGCCCCCCCAAAGGGAGAAGAGGAGGACGAGGAGGAGGGGGGGGGAGGAACGAGGCCCGCGAAGCGCGAAGCGCGAATAACTTCGCGCCCTCGTGGGAGCCCTTGCTAAACGCGAGTCGGATCGAACTGGGAAGCCGGATCGATCGAATTGGGGAGCCGGGCCGATCGAACTGGGAAGTCGAAGCACGAGTCGATGGAGTCGGGAAGCGGCACCGAATCGGAACGGGAGCCAGATCGGGCTGCAGCGGCACGGCGTCGGAATCGAACCGGATCGGCCGCGCCCAGGTGCTCGACAGCGCCATGCGAGCACTGGGCCGCAGCGGGTCGTCGGCATCTCGCACTCGAATCGGGTCGGGCTGGCCAGCATCGAGACCGAGTCTGATCGATTGGATCGAAACGATAGCAGCGATGACGATCACAACGACAACGATCACAACGATGAACGATCAATGCTCTTCTCCTGCTGTACCCGGTTGTTGTTGTTGTTGTTGTTGTTGTTGTCGTTGTGATCGCTGTGATCGTTGTCACCGTCCTCGTTCTCGTTGCTATCGTGATCGCTACCGTGTTTCTCGTTGTCGATCGCTGCTGTCGTCCTCGCTGCTGTAACTGTGACCGTCGACCCCGCAGGGACGCCCCGGCCCGCCGCGCCGCGCGCCGCGCCCCTGGGAGAGGACGGCGCGCCCGCGCCGCGCCCCGCTCCTGCAGGCTGGCGCCGCACCTGTGCGAGCTCCGCTCCAGGTCCTGCGCGGCCACCGGCGGCGCCTGGCCGTGCGGGCCCGGGGCGCCGTCCGCGCCCTCCTGCCGGCGGGTGGGGAGGAGGAGGAGGACGATGTGGTTGACGATGATGACGAAGAGTATGACGCTGACGATGACGCTGACGACGACGAGGATGACGATGACGATGACGATGACGATGACGATGACGACGACGACGACGATGACGACGATGACGACGATGCTGATGATGATGTTGCTGATGATGATCATGTTGATGGTGATGGTGATGGTGATGATGATGATGATGATGATGATGATGTTGATGCTGGTGATGACGATGAAAACGATGACGACAACCGACATGTTGATGATGATGATGACGGTGAGGACGAAAAGGAGGACGATGTTGTTGTTAATGTGGATGATGAGGATGACGCTAACGATGACGATGATGACGACGACGATGGTGATGATGATGCTGATAATGATGATGATGATGATGATGATGATGATGATGATGATGATGATGATGAAGATGATGATGATGATGATGATGATGATGATGCTGATGATAATGGTGATGGTACGGATTATCATGATGATGACGACGATGACGACGACGAATATGATGATGGTGATGATGCTGTTGTTGATGATCATGCTCATTATGAAGATGATTGTGATGATGACGACGATGTCGATGACGGGGGAGGTGGTGGAGGGCAGAACGCCACCCCCTCGCTTTGTGAAACAAGTAGCGACGGAACATTGTTGGCAACCTTCGGCTTCTGAGGGCCTGGCCAGGCCCCACGACTGTCAGCCAAGGGTTCGGCATGAGAAGCATGCGCCGCGGGGAAGGGGTCTGGACCTCTGGGGTCCACGCTGCGAGCAACAGTTACGACACCGGAGTGCAGGCACCCTGAGACGTGGGCGTCGCGTTCTCTTCGCTGCGGGCATTTCCTCACTGGGTTTCAGGCCCTCGGGCCCTCACATATTGATCTGGCTTCAGAAGTGCCGCAGATCGATGGGGTCTAGGGCCCTGGTGGAGGAGATCTTTCAAGGCGTTTATTTTTTCTCCAGCGCAACGTCGGATCTCAGGGTAAGCGACCAGACCGAGCTGCGTGCCGAGGCGGAAGAGGAGGACTGCGACGGCGATGCCTGATCACCGCAGGACTGCGCCCGCGCTCGCAGGCCACGACGACGGATGCGGGGCTGAGGAAATGGCCAAGGACGATCGGGAATAGGATGTCGACGACGACGACGAAGGTTCCGAACACAGCGCTTGGCCGCGGCGCGCCAGCGCGCGACGCCGACGACGCCGACGACGGCAGCGGGGTCCTCGGCCAGTACCGACAGCACCAACGAGGCCTCCTCCCTCCACGCCTCAGGTCCGAGCGGGGCCGCGCGGAGCGAGCTCGCAGGGGGCAGGGGGAGCGAGGGGAGGGCAGAGGGGGCAGGAAGGAGGAGGGGAGGGGGCAGGGGGGGAGAAGGAGAAGGAGGAGTAGGAGGACCAGTGTAAACCCAAGAGTCATCAACGATGTTGGGATAAACCCGTCCTCCAAGCTCCCTCTTCATAGGCACCTGCAAGGGTGTTCATGTCCCCTGAGGGAACTGCCTCGATGGAAAGCAAACGTTTAAAGACCCTGATGCGTGCCAAAACATAGTTCTCGGGATTCCAACGCCACGGATCACCCTGACAATTGCGTCTTCACGATCCTGAAACGAGCCAGAACGCCATTCGTGGGACTTCAGCACCGTGAATCAACGTAACTGCTGCCTCTCATAATCCAGGATCCGTCGAAAACACCGTTTCTGGTACGCTGATCGTGGGAATCCGCGAAACCTTCGCACATTGAATAAACGAAAGTGCGCGGCGCTAAAGCGAGAACCACATTTAGAAAAGAAACCGCCTTCAATCCGTGAAACCCTTGCAATTGTTTAAAAAGAATGTGCGCAGCGGTCAGGCGAGAACCACATTTTGAAAACCACCCGCCCTCAATCCGTGAAGCTGTTGTCAATTTGTAAGCTTTAGGGTCATAAATGGTGAGGCAATCTCAGGCGAAACACCCGGACCGCCCTAAAAACTGGCCTCGGGGTGTGACAGGGAATAGTTGTGTATCAGGAAAAGGAACGGAGGAGGAGGAGGAGGAGGAGGAGAACGAGGAGGTGGAGGAGGGAGGGGGGAGGAAGGAGGGTGGAAGGAAGGAGGGAGAGGGTCAAGCTGGGCGCGCTCGCGCCATGCCTGGTATCCGATCCTTCTCACCCATCCCTTCCAAAGGCGCTGATCTGATCTATCCGCCGACGCGACGCGTGCCATAGCTGACCAGGGACTCCCAAAAAGGGCCCCATCGTATTATGCGGAATCTGAAACAGTGAGCTGCGTACAATGGATGAGGAGGAGGTGGCGGATGAGAAGGAGGATGAGCAGGAGGAAGAGGAGGAGGAACATGAGGAGTATGAGGAAGGAGGACGAGGACGAACAGCAGCAGCAGGCGCTGGAGTGAAGGAGCGGGAGGAGCACAACCAGGGAACGACAACGATGAGGAAGGGCTTGGATCCAGAAGAGTGGCCCGCGCTGGGGCGAGTGAGCACAGCGCCGATACTCAAATAAGGCGAACGCTGCAGCGGCAGCACCATTTCGAGGAACCGAAAACAATCGGCTTGCAAAACAAACTGCACTCAACATCAACACCTGAAATCCTGCGACACGCGCGGAGAGTGCACACATCCAGACGGAGATGGGATAGCAGTGTTCACACCGAGCAATCTACGGGTAAGAAGCAGTCAGGTCAATGATGGGCCCCCAAAGGAGATCTGTCTGAGAGCCACCGGAACCGCCCGAGCACCGACCCGATCACTCAGCCGTGGACCTGCCGCCTCAGGGCCACGATGAGTCAGGCCGGTGCTCGGGCCTCCTTCCTCCTCCTCCTCCTCCTCCTCCTCCTCCTCCTCCTCCTGGTCACCACCTGGAGCGGCTCGGCCGACCCGAACGCTGACCAGACCCTTCCTGGATCCCGAACAGTTGTGGAGGAGGGGGGGGAGATGGAGGATTCACGAGGGATGAGAGCAGCTCTCCCCCCTCTCTTCGACGCTGCTGGCTCCAGGACTGTCGTGCACCCGATGCCGATCCCTCGACCTCCGCCGCATCCGAGACTCCGCTCGCTCCGGGCCAAGTGCCCCAGGATACCGCGGTGAGCGATCTCTCACTGTTGCGGCCCGCTTCCTCGCCTTCCTCTCCCCGCCTTTTCTGCTCCTCGCCCTCCTCTCCCTCCTCCTCCTCCTCCTCCTCCTCCTCCTCCTCCTCCTCCCGCAGTGGTGCGGAGCGGAGGGCGGGTGCGTTGCCAGACGTTTTCCACCCTCCCTGAATCTGGGTCCTCCCTCTTGCCCTCCCCCGCACCTCCATCTCGGCCTCCCTGTCCTCCGAACGTTTCGGCGGGCCTTCCCCAGAACATTCCGGGAGCATCTGCTCCTATCTACCCCTGCTCGTGCAGCCCTGCGTGCCCGCCGTCACCCACTCAGGCCTGCCAGGGAGCCGCGCGGGCCCGCCCGGCGCTCACGGCCCCGCGGCAGGCAGGAGAGGTGCGACCTCGGGCTGCAGGCCCAAATGCTCCGACAGCGTACAAGGCAATTTTTAATACATCGGATTTTCCAAAATATAAGATTTTTAATACATGACTCATTTATGAATAAATTTATGCATGAACTCATCGTTGTTTTTTAATACTAAATCCCTGCATGTTTAATGCATGATCCACACGCTGAGCATGTATCAAAAGCGGCACTGTACCCTGCTAACTGCAATCCTGCAATCCCTACCAGCCCCATGCCAATCCGACGCGGCTGAGACGCCCGCGGCCGCGCGCCCGAAGCACGGGGAGAAGAACCCGACTCCAGGGCACGGGCAACACACGCAGGGCCTCCGTCAACGAAGGAGAAGGGGGGAGGACGCCTCCAGGGCTCATGCAGGTCACGGCGGGGAGAGGGCGGCGGGGAGGGCGCGGGCCACGGATGCCTAGATACTACTGTCCCCCGACCACCACCCTCATCGTGTACACGCAGCCGTCGACGCCAGGGTTGCGTGGGGGGTGCTGGTGGGGAAGGCCAAGAGCCAAGAGCGTTCGGGCCAGGCCGCCCAGACGGGGCCAGGCGGGCCGGCGTGAAGGGGCGACCACATCAGAGGCCTGAGGTGGCCTCTTCCCCCTCGGTCCTCCGAGGAGGCGACGTCGATGGTTGCCTGCCTCCTCCAGCGGGCGCCCGTGAGCTTGTCGGCGCGTTTGCCGTACTCGTCCATCCTGAGGCCGTCGTATGGCCTATGGTTATCTCTTGGGTCTGCTGGTAGTTCTCTATGCGGTAGAGTAACTCCAGGAGCTTCGCGCTTCCGTATGTTTTTTTTGTTTGTCATCTTGCTGTGCCTTTCGATGTGCTTGGCGATAAAGATCTCCGTCATAGAACATGTCTCCTCGATCTCACGCTGTCCATCATACGCGTCATCGTACATCAGACCATTGCTGTTGATGATGCTTTGAGCCTCACCGACTATAGTCTGGTACTCCTGGTTGGTCAAGCTCTTCGTAGTATCCCAGATGTGCTGGACCTGAAAGAGTTACCACGCTGTGATGCCGTCTATCTGCTTGTCGGCTGAGGTACACGTGATCACGACAGGGACGCGGCAACGTGAGCAAGTGCAATACAATGAGATGATCGCTCTGATAATGTTATTGACTCGGAAGATCCTGTCGAACGCCTCACCGCTGGTGCTGAGGGCTCCCCATGGTAAGGCGTGGGATATTTTCTTGTGGATGTATCCGTCGCTGGTGAGTTCGCTGAAGTCGGCGTGTAGAGTCTTGCTAGGTATGATCGCGTACATCGCTGCAAGTTCTCCATCTCAAATCCTATCCTCCCAGCACTTGAAGGTATCGGTATCGCTGATGTCGTGGCCGTCAGTGGTGTCGTCGGCTACATTTGATTATCTTGTTCAAGATGTCCTGCATGTCGCCCTCTTGCCTCTGATGCGGCGATATTATAATAATTATGTGCCTGTCGTTAGTGTTCGTGTCTACAGTCCGTGGCGGCGTGCTGTTCTTGACCTTGGTCGTCGAAAACGCTGGAGGTGACGACGGTGTAAGGTCAAGTCGTGGCAATGATGTGACGTCCCCTTGAGGAGCGGATTTTTCGTGGTATAGGTCGGGCCATCCTTTCATTATCAGAGTGAGGGGGCTGAACCGAACGGTCATTCACTAACCCTGGGTGCGTGGTTGAAGTGGAATTCCGCGATGCGGATTATTATTAGTATTATTATTATTATTGTTGTTGTTGTTGGATGTGGTTGTTGTTGTTGTTGTGGCTGTGGTTGTGGTTGTGGTTGTTGTTGTTGTTGTTGTTGTTGTTGTTGTTGTTGTTGTTGTTGTTGTTGTTGTTGGTTGTTGGTTGTTTGTTGTTTGTTGTTTGTTGTTTATTGTTTGTTGTTTGTTGTCTGTTGTTGTCGCCGTCCCACCCGCGACCCGCCCCGCGACCCACCCGCGACCCACCCCGCGACCCATCCGTAACCCACCCGCGACCCACCGCGCGACCCACCCGCGACCAACCCCGCGACCCACCCGCGACCCACCCGCGACCCACCCGCGATCCACCCCGCGACCCGCCTGCGACCCACCCCGAGACCCGTTTGGCGACCCACCCGCGACCCATCGGCGACCCACCCGCGACCCACCGGCGACCCACCCCGCGACCCACCCGCGACCCACCCGCGACCCACCCGCGACCCAGCGCGACCCGCGACCCACCCGCGACCCACCCAAAATTTTCGGCGCCTGCGGCGTTTTTTTTGGGGGGGATCCGTTCCAGGTGGAGAACCTGCGCCCCACCCGCGGACCAAACTGCGCCCGCGACCCACCCGTGACCAGCCGCGACCCACCCGCGACCCACCCGCGACCCACCCCGCGACCCACCCGAAATTTTCGGCGCCTGCGGCGGGCTTTTTTGGCTGAGTTCCTTCCAAATGGAAGTGGAGAGAGCCCGCGACACACCCGCGACCCAAACTACGTTCACTGAACAACACACAACGTTCGGCGCCTGCGGCGAATTTGTTTTGCAGTCGTTCCAGGCGGAGAACCTGCGACCCAAACCGCGTCCACTGTACAAATCAAAACATTCGGCGCCTGCGGCGGGCGGGGTGTTTTTGAATTCCATCCAGGTGGAGGTGGAGAGCCCGCCGCCGCCGTCGCCGTCGCCGTCGCCGCCGCCGCCGTCGCCGCCGCCGCCCCGCCCCACACCCCCCGGAGCGCGCGCGCGCGTTCCGCGGAGGAGGGGGGGAGGAGCAGGGCGAGGAAGACGACGACGACGACGACGACGACGACGACGACGACGACGACGACGACGACGAGTACGAGGACGAAGAGGAGGCCGACGACGAGGGCGAAGAGGAAAAGGAGGGGGGGACGGAGGGGGACGACGAGAAAGGAGGGAGGAGGAGGGGGAGGAGGAGGAGGACGACGACGACGACGGAAAGGAGGAGGGGGGAGGATCGGGATGGGGGAGAGAGGAGGAGAGGAGGAGGAGGAGGGAGGAGAGGAGGAGGAGGAGGAGGAGGAGGAGGAGGAGGAGGAGAGGAGGAGGGGAGGAGGAGGAGGAGGAGGAGGAGGAGGAGGAGGACGCGCACGGCCCAAAGGCGAACGGTCACGCCGTCTCGCCTCGCTGCCGTGCACAGTCACGGCCCCAGGTGACGAGGAGACCAGACGCCGCGTGAGCGCGAGCACCTAGCACCCCGCAGCGCGGGGTGTTGGAGAAGCGCACTCACCCCTAAGCCCACGGGCCTGGCGGCACCCCTTGAACGGGCCCCGCGGAGACCACCAGGGGCCCCACACCGCCAGGATCCGAGACGAATCCAGCAGCCCGACCAGGCTCGGCCCCAGGGGGCCCCCTGGGTCGGACGTACGCTCGCCCGCGGCTCCGCTCGGCCCCGCAGCAGCGCAGCCGCGGCGGTAGGCCGCGAGGAGCGACGCGACCTGGCCACGCACCGCCTCCTCGGTCGCCGCTGCGGCGACCTCCGCCTCCACCTCGGCCCCGCCGGCTCTGGCGGCACTTCCACCCCTCTGGGAGCCGCCGCGTCCAGCCCGCTGTCCACCGAGGCCGGGCCAAGGGAAGGATGACGTCGAGCCGAACTCGCCGAATGGCTCCTCGGCGCCCCCGAGGTCGATCCATGAGCTGCTAGTAGCACCACCTCCAGGTGCTCTTGTCGAGGCGGGCCTGCCCCGCGCGCTGTTTATCCTGTGGGTGCACCAGGGGGCAGGCTCCAGCAAAAACCTTGGCGACTGAGCCCAGCCCCTCGCGCTGTTTACCTCGTGGGTGCCCCTGGGGGCTGGGACTCGCGTTCTAGCCGCCGTCAGAGTCGGCAGCCCCTGCTTACCTGCGTCCTGGTGGGAGTCCCCCTGCTAGGCGCCTGCAGGTCGTTGAGACCGCGGCAGGGGCCCCTGGTGAGGCCGCACTGGCGGCTCTTCCACCCCTCTGGGGGTCGCCGCGTCCAGCCCGCTCGTCACCGAGGCCAGGCCAGGGGGATGATGACGTCGAGTCGACCTCGTCGAATGGCTCCTCGGCGCCCCCGAGGTCGATCCATAAGCTGCTAGTAGCACCACCTCCAGGTGCTCTTGTCGAGGCGGCCCTGCCCCGCGCGCTGTTTACTCTGTGGGTGCGCCAGGGGGCAGGCTCCAGCAAAAACCTTGGCGACTGAGCCCAGCCCCTCGCGCTGTTTACCTCGTGGGTGCCCCTGGGGGCTGGGACTCGCGTTCTAGCCGCCGTCAGAGTCGGCAGCCCCTGCTTACCTGCGTCCTGGTGGGAGTCCCCCTACTAGGCGCCTGCAGGTCGTTGAGACCGCGGCAGGGGCCCCTGGTGGCGCCGCACTGGCGGCTCTTCCACCCCTCTGGGGGTCGCCGCGTCCAGCCCGCTCGTCACCGAGGCCAGGCCAAGGGGATGATGCCGTCGAGCCGACCTCGCCGAATGGCTCCTCGGCGCCCCAGAAGTCGATCCACTCGGTCCATGCCCGCCGAGTCCGACGCACATGTCGAGGTGGGAGGCCCGCGTGCCGCTGAGCCGCTCCTCGGCCGCGCCGCCAACGCCGCCCCAGCATGCAGCGCCATGTGCGACGCGAGCCTCTGGCCGACGGAGTTCTGGTCGATGTACCAGCCCAGGGCAAGGCCGACAGCGGGCCGCCCGCGCCGAGGGGCTCCGAGCAGCGCCGCACGGCTCCGCAGCGGCGCAGCCGCGGCGGTAGGCCGCGAGGAACGACGCGACCTGGCCACGCACCGCCTCCTCGGTCGTCGCTGCGGCGCCCGCCGCTTCCTCCTCGCCCCCGCCTGCAGGTCGGTGAGACCGCGGCAGGGGCCCCTGGTGGCGCCGCACTGGCGGCTCTTCCACCCCTCTGGGAGTCGCCGCGTCGAGCACGCTCGTCGTCGAGGCCAGACCAGCCGCCTACGCCACATCCGTGTCCGTAGACTCCTCAACTTGAACTGGCACACGACCGCGATTCCATACGGCAGCCTGGCTGGACATCAGTACAATGGCATCGCTGCCGCCCTCGACGGGGTCGTGCACCTCGACGGCCACTCTGCTGGACACCTTGGGCGCCAGCTTGCTCTCCAGCCTCGCCAGCACCGCCTTGCCCGTAGGTGTCGGCGGCGCGCAGCGCCTGGTGAAGCGGCCACTGGCGCGGCGCGAGCCACTGGCGCCTGCCGCTGCGGGGCCACTGGCGCGGCGCGAGCCAGCAAGAGGAGGAGGAGGAGGAGGAGGAGGAGGAGGAGGAGGAGGAGGAGGAGGAGGAGGAGGAGGAGGAAAAGGAGGAGGAGGAAAAGGAGGAGGAGGAGGAGGAGGTGGAGGAGGCGGACGACGACGACGACGACGACGACGACGATGACGTGGACGAGGAGGAGGAGGAGGAGGAGCAGGAGGAGGAGGAGGATAAATAGGAGGGCGCAATCGACAGGGAAGATGAGGGCCACGAGGTCCGCCGGCTCGACGCCCGCGTCGCCCGCGCCCGACCCTCCACTCTTATACACAAGCGCGGGGTGCTACGTATTCTCCTTGCTGGTCTTGACGTGCTCCTCGTTGTTGGTCGCCTTTTCTTATTCGGTAAGTTGCTGTCCAAAAGAAGACCCCGCATACCAAGACCTTTTGCATGAGTGGACCGTCATGAGGTGCTTGACTAGCTTGGCGCAGGATTGGAACTTTTTGCAGCACATTCGGCATGCTCCGCCTGACGCCCAGTTCTTGGGTGACTCTCTTTCTTATGTTCGCGACAGAGATGGGCAGCCATGGGAAGGGATGGGTGGGAAGGATAGGGTGCCAGACATGGTGCGAGCGCACCCAGCTTGACCCTCTCACTCCTCCTTCCTCCCTCCTCCTTCCTCCTCCTCCTCCTCCTCCTCCTCCTCCTCCTCCTCCTCCTCCTCCTCCTCCCCCTCCTCCTCCCCCTCCTCCTCCTCGCCCTCGCACCCGCCCATCGCCCGTCCCCTCCTCCTCGCCACCCGGACCGCGCGAGCGCGCGCGCGGCGCGGACTCTGCGGCTGGGCCCCGCGCGACGGCGGCCTCCGCGCCCGTCGCTGGCGGGGCGTCCGCGGGGCCTGTGGCCGCCTCTCCGAGGGAGGGCGGCGCGGGCACGGCCGCCGCGCGCCGCCGCCGCGCGCCGCCGTCGTTCCGGTCAACGGGCCCGTTTGCCAGGAGTGCCGGATGTCCCAAAAGCATCTCCTCATTCGGGGAGACGTAAGACCCGGGTACGAGGGACTCGGAAATCCCCGACGAGGTCGTCAAAAAAATGACGAGGCCGAGCCTGCACTTTGACGAGGCCTCCCGCTGCAGACATCCCACGAAACTCCTCCTCGTCAAAATCCGAGGCGCGTTCGTCAAAAAACGATGGCGAACCCGAGTCCTGGCAAACCCGGGTCTTACGCTCCCCCGACAGGAGTGCCGGATTTCCCAAAAGCATCTCCTCATCCCAGACATCCCAAGTATCCAGATGAGGAAGCACAGGGTTCCCACACCCCCGGCGGCGCAGACCTCGTGTGTTTCTGGGAGGAGGAGGCGAGGAACCCGGGCGTCTTCATCTGGATGTTTGGAGTTTTGGGGGATTCAGGGGATCGGAGCTCCTGGGAGGGCTCCTGGCTTTGAGAGTAGCTGGAAGGCAGAAAATCCCCCAAATCCCCCTTCCAGCTAATCTCAAACCCAGGAGCTCTCCCAGGAGGAGCTCCGATCCCCTGAATCCCCAAAACTCCAAACATCCAAATGAAAACACATGGCTTCTCTATCTCGCATCCCAGAAATCCGAGTTACGCTACCGAGGAACCCACATAATGAACTTTAATATTATGTGTTTGCTACTCGTATTTAATAATGTACGCGCAATCCTGCGTTCTGAACCGTCGTGGCGAATGTTTCCCTATGTCTCATTCAACACACTATCACGCTGTCCGATACTGGTACGCATGCAGGCCGCGCTGAAGGACCACCCCCCGCATACCCCCTCTGGTGGCGACAAAGTGCCACGCCTGCCACGCTGTCCGACCCTGGCACGCATAGAGGCCGCGCTGAAGGACCACCCCCTGCGCCCCCCCTCTGGTGGCGAGAAAGTGCAACGCCTTCCACGCTGTCCGACCCTGGCACGCATAGAGGCCGCGCTGGGGGATCCCCCCCCGTGCACCCCCTCTGGTGGCGAGAAAGTGCAACGCCTACCACGCTGTCCGACCCTGGCACGTATAAGGGCCGCGCTGGGGGACCCCCCCCCCCCACCCCCTCTGGTGGCGACAAAACGCCACGCCTCCCACGCTTCTCGACCCTGGCACGCATAGGGGACGCGCAGAAGGACCACTCTCTGCGCATTCCCCTCTGGTGTGGCGAAAATGCCACACGTGCCACACTTTCCGGCCCTGGTACGCATAGAGGCCCCGCGGAGGGACCCCCCCGCGCGCACCCCCCTTCTGGCGTCGAGAAACTGCAACGCCCGCCACGCTGTCCGACCCCGGCACGCAGAGAGCATGCGCCGAGGGACCACCCCTTGCGCACCCCCTTTGGTGCCGAGAAAGTGCCACGCCCGCCGTGCCATGCGCGTCTGCAGCGCATAGAGACCGCACCCTCTGCGCACCCCCTCCTGGTGCCGAGAGGGTGCCGCACCCGCCGCGCCCCGGCGCGCCTGCAGCGTATAGAGGCCGCACCCCCCGCGCACCCCCGCTGGCGTCGAGAAAAATCCCCGCCTGCCGTGCCCTGCGAGCCTGCAGCGCATAGAGACCGCACCCCCTGCGCACCCCAAGGAAGAGGAGGAGAGGGAGGTCAGACGCGGGTGCGGCGCGGTAGGGAAGAGCACCAGAAACGTGTGGGTAACGACGCGCTGTGCTGAGCTGTGCTGTGCTGAGGTGCTGTGCTGTGCTGTGCTGTGCTGAGCTGAACTGTGCTGAGCTGAGCTGTGCTGAGCTGAGCTGTGTACGTGTTGTGTGTGTGTGTCAATGTGCTGTGTGCTTTGCTGTGATGTGCTGTGCTGAGCTGCGCTGTGCTGCGCCGTGTGAGAAGGAGAAGGAGGGGTGAGGAGACGCGGGCGCGACGCGGGAAGGAAGAAAACCATAATCCCACTAAGCATGTGGGGAAACAAACACATGAAAGTACAAGGCTTCCGCGCCCCTGACATCGCAAACTTCATGGGGGCTGTGCTGGGCGTCTGGAAGAGAGAGAGGGGGAGAGAGAGAGAGAGAAGGAGAGAGAGAGAGAGAACGAACGAACGACGGACAAAGAAACCAGGGAGATAGATAACCATCTATATATATATATATATATATAGAGAGTCCTCTATATACATATATATAAATAAAAAAGAAGAAATAAAAAAGATAGAGAGAGAGAGAGATAAACCGAAAGAGACAACAAAGAGAGAGAGAGGCATATTCCAGATCCAGCGGGTTACACGCATTCCTATTGGAGTGCAACTGGCATCTAATGGGAACAGAACGGATCCCATACCAGCTGTTTCCATTTAGATTCGTAATGAAACCGAATAGAACCCAATTAGAATTGAGCAGATCGCTGATTCAGATGGTCTTCCTTTTGTAATCGATTTAGCGTCGAGCTGAAGTGGTGCAGATCCCCGACAAAACTGATTCCAAGTAGATTCCTATTGAAATCGAATGGGGGTCTTGTTAGAACTGAGCAGGCCCCACATCCAGCGGATTCCACATAGACTCCCCTTGGTATGCAATTCGAATCTAAGTGGGTTGGGGCGGATCTCAAATCCAGGTGGTTCAAATTAGGATACTACCGAATTAAAGTTCGAACGCAACTAGAAATTAACACGATCCCGGATCTACCTGGTTTCAATTACATTCCTGCTGGGATCTGGGTAACATCGAATTAGAATGTGGCAGATCCCATATCCAGCTGATTGCAATTGTATGTATTTGTGGCTAAATCGAATCGAATCGGAAGTGGGTAGGTCCCAGGCCTAGCGGATGCCAGTTGCATTCCTATTCCAATCAAAACGAAATCGAACATATCCCAAAACCAGCTGAGTCCACTTGGGATTCCGACTGGACTCTCAGCAATATCTCATTGGAACTGAGCAGTTCACAAATCCAGCCGATTCCAAATCGACCCCTATTTTAATCTAGCTCGAATCGAATGGGAATTGCGCAGATCCCAGATCTTGCTAATTACACTTCGCTTAAATTCCCAGTGTAATAGAACTTGTGTGTCATTTGGGTGGAGATCCCAGATTCAACTGCTTCAACTTGGAGTCACATTTGAACCGAAAGAACCTACTTCGAATGGAGCAAGTCGCTGATTCAGATCGGATCTCCATGGGAATCGATCTACAATCTAATTGACATGATGTTGATCTCGGATCCAGCTGATCCCAAGTAGATTCCTACAAGAGTCGATTGGGACTCTAAGCGGTATTGGGCAGATCTCAGATCCAGCTGGTCCCAATGTGAGCCCGATCGGGGTTTAATTCGAATCTAGTTGGGGTGGGGCGGATCCCACTCAATCATTGTTAACATCAAACTAGACTCGAACTATACTTGCGCATATCCCAGATCCAGCTGAGCCCAATTATTTCCCAACACGGATTGACCAAACATGTCGAATCGGAAGAATAGAGGAGCAGGCACGGATGACACAAAGCGGATGATCAGTACGAGTACGAACGAACAACCCAAAGATCGATGCCCGACTCATGGGTGCCAGGGGGGCTAGATAAACATCACCATACTGATATACATAACTATGTGCATCTACATGCGTATCTGTATATCTGCATATGTATGCATATGCATATGCGCACACATATATATATATATATATATATATGCATACATTTACACATACATACAAAGGTATGTCTGTTAGTGAGGGGGTCTCCTACAGCGACCATTAGCAGGCCATGGCTGTTAACTTCTTGGCCCGCGGAATGAAAACACAAACAACAAATTTGACACACGAAGCGCCGTGAAATTTTCAAAATTCCGCCGAGCACTGATTTTTGCACGGCCTGTTTTGCCATCGGCTGCTTTGCAATACTCAGAATTCCACGGGGCATTGATTTGTGCCAGGCATGTTTTGCCATGGGGCGATGTGTCATCGATTCAAAAGCGGGGAGCCCCAGGCGATGCTCATTGGTACAGTGCCCAAAGGGTTTCCGAAAAAAAAAAAACAGCGACCGTGTTGGATTTGGCGCGCGGCGTACGCGAGTGAGAAAGCAGCCGCTTCTCTAGGGCAGCGCGCGCCTTGAGGGGACGCAAGCTTCGACGTGCGAGCGCGTCCACCACGCAAGCGCAAACGCTACGAACGACGGGAAAAATCGTCCGCTGCACGGCGATGCGCACGCCTGTCGCGACATCGCTCGAGAGCGTCGCAATCGCATTTATTTCCGTCCAACTTTGAAGACGGCGCTGCGTAACCAAAGCGCGCGCGGGCGAGCCAAAATCGAAGCAAACACGCACGCGCACACGCATGCACACACACACACGCGCACACACACACACGCACGTGCACGTAGCGAGCCAAACTTTTGAATCGCGACGGGTACAAGCTAGACCAGGGCGCGGCTAACAGAATTGACGGCAGCGCAAACATCTCTCTCTCTCTCTCTCTATATATATATATACAATATCATCTGTAAATGGAAACAAAGAGAACGGATCGCGGTATATTGCCCAGCAGCCAGCCCGGAAACGCACCCGAACGGGCTCCGCGCCCCACGGGTGCCGCAAAGAGAATTGTCGAATGCCGACGCGCACTTCCGCGCCGCGAAAGGGCCCCCATGCCGCTGGAGCTTCCGCCACCGCCCCCCCTTTCCCGTAGTGCAAGGTTTCGTCGTCTCAAACGCGCGGGTCCGCAAGCGATGTTGCTTTCTGGAGCGCCAGACGGCTTCCCCACAATATCCGCGCGCATGTTGGGCTTGGAGCTTAACGTGCGGGACATGAGAAACGCACTGATTATACAAAGCAGCGCGCGGCCTGGAGAAGCGCGAACTTAACCGCCGCGCAAGCGGGAGGAGCATTGGCCGAAGAACGGCCGTGACCCGGCCTCCGTCGGCCTCCTCAAAAGGCTCCAGAAAAATTCGTTTTCAGTTGCGGCACTTATATGTCGACTTC